AATATAATAGCGAATTCGATTAGACGCACACTCAGTGCGCACTAAAACCGTCGTGTCCAAAATAACGTAAAGATATGTTTATAAATAAACATAGAAGTCAATTAAATCATGGAATATCTACTCAATACATTTTATTATTTAGATAAAATATATATTTCATAATTCGAAATATTTACATTTCATTTTTATACTCAAATTAACTCAATGTATAATGGCTTTAATATGCACCAGTACGTATTAGTGCTACCAATCGAATTCGCCATAAGTTTCTGGTTCCAATTTCTTTACAGAGAATATATATATATAGAGAATATAGAATATATATATATATATATATATATACACACCTTTTATATCCTTAAAATGTTGATTCTTTTTGTGTAAATGAATATTTTATGTTTATTTATTTAAGAAAATAATTTACAAGATTATTTGATGTCTTCCTTTTCAGAGATTTACTGCAACGTATCAAAATTTTGATCTAACTTTTCTATTTTGAAAAAAAGTTTAACCACTGCTTAAAAATACAACAAAATACTATTAAGTGTTATTTTTTTAGAAATTGTGAGAATAAAGAAACAAATCTACTTGATTTTAATGTTTTTTGTGATCTTGGCACAAATAGTAATTTCATAATCTATTCAACAAATATCATAGAAAGATAAATTACCATAATAACAAACTTAATCACATCTAGTAACAAACTTAATGGCTTTGGGAATGATTTTTTTTTATAGAAAGATGTTGCGTATCAAACTTCACACATTTTAGAATATGTACAATAATTGCAAACAGATTAGAGATCATTAACTCTTCTCTTACTATATTATAATAAACTTTATAACAGAATTCCTACAAACGAGAACAAGTATGCAGCGGAAATTTTAGAAACGATAAAAAAATAAAAAAGATTTACAAATAAATATAAAAACAAATAAGGCATAAAGTAAAAAATATTTTGAAAGTTGTAAAAATTATCCAAATTATATTGTGTTCTTATTTTATCAAAGCGATAAAATATAATAAATATATTATAGATTGAATCATTTGAATCATTTTATAATATTTCTTAGATTAGGTTTTTAGAAACTATATTTTTATCATTTTAATTACTTATATATATATTAGGTGTACAACTTTGCTTCCGCCGTTTTTTTTCCGAAATTCGAGGCTTTATTCTAAAAAACTGGTTATACATTTATGATTCAAAGTATTGTCCATCGCTGGCCACTACTTTCTCCCATCTTTAGGGTAGCGTACGAATCCCGCGTCGAAAAAACTTTTTGGTCATCTTTTGAGGCTATCCACGAATCGATCCAATTTTTTACTTCTTCATAAGACCGGAAGTGCTGGTCAGCCAGGCCGTGTGCCATTGATCGAAACAAGTGATAGTCAGAGGGAGCAACGTCTAGAGAATACGGCGGATGAGGTAGGACTTCCCATTTCAATATTTCTAAGTATGTCTTGACCACTTTCGCAACATGGGGTCGAGCATTGTCATGCTGCAAAATCACTTTATCGTGTCTCTCGTTGTATTGCGGCCGTTTGTCTTTCAATGCTCGGCTCAAACGCATCAATTGCGTTCGATACCGATCGCCTGTGATTGTTTCAGTCGGTTTTAACAGTTCATAATACATTACACTGAACTGGTCCCACCAAATACAGAGCATGACCTTGGACGTCAAAATCATAATTCTTGAAGCGTTGAAACCATTCACGACATGTTCTTTCACTAATAGCCTCACCATAAGTATTTGAGAGCATTCGATGAGCCTCAGCTGCAGATTTCTTCATATTGAAGCAAAAAATTAAAATCTCCCACAAATGACGAGAATCTGGCTCGTAAACTGACATTTTCAATCGAGAATAACTTTATGATGCAAATCGACTAATGTTTCT